CGTCAACAACATGTCGTCACAGATACCCATGTACCAAAAGGAGCTAGAGATAGCCCTGCTGGCCGTGCAGCGCGCAGCACAGCTCACCAAGCGGGTCTTTCACGAGAAGGCCAAGGGCACCGTCTCCAAGGACGACAAGTCCCCCGTCACGATCGGCGACTTTGGTGCTCAGGCGCTCATCATCAGCGCCCTGAAGGCCAACTTTCCCGAAGATGAGATTGTAGGCGAGGAGGACGCAGATGAGCTGCGCAGTGAGGCTGGCAAGGGCCTACGGGACCAGATCTGGGAGCTGGTCAAGTCGACCAAGCTGGCCGACGCCAACTCTGAATCCCGTCTCGGCGGCCCCGTCAAGGACGAGGACGCCATGTTGGACCTGATCGATTTCGGCAACAGCGAGGGTGGCGCCCACGGGAGGATATGGACGATTGACCCCATCGACGGCACCAAGGGATTCCTCAGAGGTGGCCAGTACGCCGTGTGCCTGGCCCTTCTTGTGGACGGAGACGTCAAGGTCGGCGTGCTCGGCTGCCCGAACCTGCCGGTAGACGACTCGGCCCCGTTGGACTCCAACATCGGCGCGAACCAGACGGACGAAGGCCGTGGCGTCATCTTTTCTGCGGTCCAGGGGCTCGGAGCTACCAGCCGACCGCTTACCACTGGACCGCTGTCCCTGCAAGGGCAACGGATTGCAATGAAAGCTATCCCCGACGGAGACATGTCCAAGGCCTGCTTCTGCGAGAGCGTCGAGGCTGGTCACTCGAACCAGTCGGAATCCGCTCAGATTGCAAAGAAGTTGGGCATCACCAAGCCTAGCGTCCGGATGGACTCGCAGGCAAAGTACGGGTCTATTGCCCGTGGTGCGGGTGACATTTACCTCCGTCTGCCAACATCAGAGACCTACCAGGAAAAGATCTGGGATCATGCCGCTGGTGACCTGATCGTCCGAGAAGCGGGCGGACAGGTTACGGACACTCTTGGAAAGCGGCTGGACTTTAGCAAGGGCAGAACGCTAGCCGAGAATAAGGGAGTTGTTGCCGCGCGCGCAGAGGTTCACGGAAAGGTGCTCAAGGCTGTTCAGGAGGTTATTGGACAAAAATGAAGCCACTTTTCTTAGGTATAGCTCGGTATTATACAGTTTATAACACAGCCGCCACATAGAGTAGCCGCATAGACTAGATGTACATACAAAGACCGACAAGATATGCCAGCCCTCTATTTGATCTTCTTCTGCTTCAACTTGATCGTCTCCTCGTTGACAAAGATTCCCTTGCCCTTGTACGGCTCCGGCACTCGCCACCTCCGGATCTTGGCAGCAAAGGACATGATCTCCTCCCGGTTGACGCCCTCGAGCAATATTCTCGTCGGTTGCGGTGTGCTGGCCTTAATGCCCTTGGGAACCGCCATCTCGACCGGGTGCGAGAATCCGAGCTTGAGGATGACGAACTGCTGGCCGGGGAACTCTTGCAACTCTGGCCGGGCATCGACTGACGCTCTGTAACCGATACCGACCAATCGCAAAACGGCAGTGTGGCCTTCAGACACTCCCATGATGTATCTGTTAAGGTATGCCCAGGTCGTTCCTGTTGCCTGTCAGAAAACTTTCCCTCAATACCAACATGGCATCTGTGTACATACCCCACATCTCACGCTGCTGCTTCAAACTCCGGTCCTGCACGCTGAGCGTGGCTCTCCTCGCCGCCGTGTCATGGTCGATTTGGATATACGTCGGGATCTGGAGATCCAATTGCCCCAATGGGCCCGAAACCGTGACTGTGCGTTTGGGAACTTGTAGGTACGTAGTCATGTCCCTCTTGACCCAAGGCTCGCTAATTACGAGTTCAACGCCGGGGGGGATCGAGATTGGTGTCCGGCCGAGCTTGGATGGCCGGTTCGTCGTCGCTGAAAAGTGTCGCGCGGGCACAGGGGCGCTGTGGAAGGCCGGCACGAGGAATGTCGGTAGGGTGACGACGGAGGAAGAGCATAGAGCCCTCCCCCTACTTGGTGCGAGCATCGTGGCCATTTTTGGAGGAGCAATTGCGAACTGGCAAACGCGCTCCGCGATTGTACTGCTCCTGCCGTGCAAAGGGATCCAAAAAAGATCAATCAGACCTAGCGACGCACGGCTTGTTCCGGCTGCCGAAAATTGGCCGCTTAGTCATGCATTGCAAGGTTACCGCAGGGGTCTACGCTCACCTTGCTCACCGTCTCCATAGACCGGCCTCACTTCAAATGAGCAAACATGTTTCTGCGTTGCGCAGCAAGCAGCAAACTGCACTTGGATATGCACGGTGGTCCACTTCGGCGCGTGCGTGTGAGGTAGAATGAATTGCCCATAGAGGCCTCAAGATGATGTTAGGTCACACGACTAGGTGAGTGGGCTCTTGGTTGAAAGTGTACGGCATCGTGAGCTAAACGTCGGTGCAAACGACGAGAGTGTGGATAAGCACAAATATTTGCCATTTCCATTCCCCCGCTGTAAGACGTGCGTGCTGTAGATGCTATCTACAGCGAATCCACCGCCTTCGCCCCAAGTGCGTGCTGAAGCTCTTTCCCTTTTTGGATGAGGTGAACTAGATATCTGGGTTCACGTCGCTCCTTCCGTCTCGCGATAGCTCCTCCCCTCTTTCCTTTACAAAGCTTTTCCAGATCATTTACTCATTTGCTTGCTTGCCGTCCTGCTTTTTATTTCAATATTTCTTCTTCACCTCCTTCAGCTTTATGAGTTCGCGATTGCTTCAGTAATGCCTCGCCGCAACTTCGCCGTGGTAGTGAGCAACATAAGGCTAGCCTTACTCCTCTGGACTATTTTACTTGGTACTGTTCATCCGCTTTCATGGGGCAGTGACAGAAAAGTCGCGGATCGTATGTCATTCGGACAAAAGCTGCAGTGAATGCGTGAGACTGATATCATATTCAGGGGCAGCCACCGACACACATCAGACCAACCTCAGCCCATCGGAACTTCTACAGCAACCATCTCGTCTTCCAAACATATACGCCGTCGCACTGAGTGAGCTGCAGGAACTGGAGTCAGAGCCCCTTTGCCATCGTGTCGCTGCTCGGCTCCTAGTGAACAACTGTCAGCTCGTCGACGGGAAGGACGATGCAACTATTCTCACTGACAGCGGTCGCCAAGTACGGGACTTTGTCGACTCGTACGCTGCAAGTCTGGCGATCTGCGATTTAGAGCGTGGGAGCTTCGCGATACCAAAAGAATGCTCAAAGTTTCGGGAACCATCACTCAGCCAAATCGCCATACGGGACGAGCCGCAACTTCATGTCAGCTCCAAAGAGATTGGGCTCTGCCTCTCAGCACTCGCAGCATCGGACGCCGCATGGACTACATGGATCAGCTATCGCCATAAGGCGTTGCGTTTTTGCGAAGCTGCGCGGGCTGACAACGAGAAGGGTTAGTACTCCTTCGAAGAGTGTCCCACGGATAACTAACACCGTCACAGCTCAAAACATTCTCCTCTACCAGCGCCTTACCCAGGTGATCGCTAAACTTGTGGATGGCGTCGAAGTCGAGCTTCAAAGGCGAATGGATGAGATCGACGTTCGGGCTCGGCAGTCAGCCGAGAGTCTTGCGCAGTTGACGCCGCATATTGACCAGCTGAGAGACGGACTGGAAAGGGTAGAGGGCTATATCACAAAGGATTTAGAGGCGACAATACGAAGATCGACAGACTCCATCGGCAGCGGCCTTCAACACGCAGAGAACCTGCAGCAACTACTCAGTCTTCTATTCAAGAACGTCCTCGAGAGCAACTCTCAGCTGGCTCACGCCCACGACCAGTCACTCCAGCAAGTATCCACGAGAGCCAACGATGATCTAGCAGCCTTTATGGAGGTTGTCGCGACAGCAGCAGCTTCGTCCGTCTCCTTGCAGAAGCAGATAGTCAGCCTCCCTCTCCTGCTATATCTAATGGGTGACGCTAACGAACTGCAAAGGAAGTTTCAAACCGACAGGCTGCTGAGCTAGCTCATCGGCAAGACACACTCGAACAAGGAATGGGCCGGCTTATTACTGTCACCGAGACACTGTCCACGACATATAAGGATCACACGCATATGCTGAAGCAAGCCAACAACATCACAAACGACATCCTTGACGCTCTAGAAGAAACGGCTGCCACAGCGTCGTCGGTGAACCAGTCACTCTTTAAAGACGCAGCTTCCACCAGTTGGTGGCCATACATTGTTTGCCCCACAGTTTCCCTCGTCATGGGGTCATATGGACTTCCGCCTTCCGCCTTTCGAAACCTTGGGCTACTGGCACTTGGAGAGGCCGTCGGGCTCTTATTCGCGTCATTCGATCAACTCACCAACAGCCTCTCTTTCTCTACGCCTGAAGCTATCGCAAACACAACAGTATCATCACTCTAAGCGGCTGGACATTCTCATTATCTTTATCTGGTTCGGCAGGAAAACTTACTTTTGGGCTTTTAGCATGGTTCATACTTGGGAGTTATGGGAGGATCTGGCTGCATTTTGGCGCTGAAAAATGATCATATCGAGGGCTCTCATTAGCATAGCACGCAGGCGGTTTTCTTACTAACTCGTCGAGCCAATTTACGTTATCGTATATTATACCTGCCACACAAATGCATGCAGTGACCCGCTTCGTTTGGATCAAGATGAGCGAGTTGAGGAAACTAATAAAGAATGAATGATACGTCTAAGCTGAGCCCAAATCAAACCAAACTCCGACATCACAACCCCTTGAGCCATTCAAACACCCGTGTAAAGTTCCAAGAAGCAAGCGCAACACAAATGGCATTGCACAAGATGCCAGGAGTCATGTTTAGATCAGAGACTCGCAAAACAATGTACGGACGACGGAACATTAAGTGGCAGAAAATGGGATAAAGAGAGGGCAGTTACTAAGAGGGTCAACTTCGCAGACAAACGACAAAATTGTGAAACAGGTTGACCTGATAGACAGCTTTAACAGGAGTTAAAAAAAAGTCGCACCGTTTTGTGGTGGAAGAAAGAATCGATGGGATAACCAGGAATCGAACCTGGGTCCTCTCGGAATCTTGTGTCTCAGAAGAGAATCGAGAACCACAACGAGAAGTACTGACCACTATACTATTATCCCTTTCATGGAAGACCTGAGGAGCCTGTAAGACCTATGTGCACACTCCTGATTTAGCCGGAACACATAATCCGTTGCCCGATCGACCTCCTTGCAACAGCGCTGAGCGGTTGTTGGAGTGCACTTACTTGTCAAGTAATTCTACGCTGCCTTAACTAGCTAGGAGCGTTGTCTAGAAGTTGTACTGAAGTAATTTGGAAAATCCAACGCGCTTGTTTAAATAGGTAGGTATTTCTTTGTCTTATCGAAGGCTACGCTAACTAACTTTTAGTCGTACCAGATAGCATTCATACCGAACCCAGGCTCGGGTATTCTCAGCCGCGCCACCCTGTGCAGGAACTCGTCTTTCCAGCGGTACATCTCGATCCACCCTTCCTGGTCGTCCGTGATCGCCAGCCACTCGTCGCTCCAGTCGCACGGCGCAACCGCGTTACTGTGTCCTCCGGAGGTAGGGGTCGGGTTTAGCAAGATCTGGCGTTCGATGCTACCGCAGTCGCGAAGCTTGAACGCGGCGATGTAGCCAGTAAGCTCAAACTTGTTCGCCCGCGACGACGCAAACATGTACTTTCCGCTGAACGTCAGCGCGCACACATCCGCCCTGTACAGCCCCTTTCCGGTCTGCGGATCCCGGTCGGGAATGCCTGGCGGGATAAGGGGGAAGCTGTGGTGCGTGTACACGGGCATGTGCGTCGCCGGGTCAATGACATATTCGCAGATGCGGTTGCCGGCCTCCATCAGGGCGTACAGGTAGTTCCCGGTCGGATGCATGGCTACCCACCGAGGGTGGTCGCCTGCATCAGGGGCGTCGACAGACCCGATAAGCTCGACCTCACCGGACGGAAGCGTGCGGTGCGTCCAGAGCTTGTTCGCCGTCAAATCGGCGGAGTAGAGGTATGTCTCGGTCGGATCGAACACCATGCCGTGGATACCGGTATTCTCCTGGTACGGGTAGTTTTGGATGTTCTTCTCCAGGGCACCAGACCCGGAAACGGAAAAGATGTTGCCGTACCCGGCATGCTTGTAGAAGGGGTTGCAGTAGACGGCGTAGGGAGGTTGCTTGGCAGCTAGGAGGAAGATCGCCCGGGTGTTTGTCTCTGCGCTGTTTGCTTGGGCTGTGCACACATCATCAGCGATTGAAATGCCAAAGGACAAAAAAAAAAGGAGGGGAAAGGAGAAAAGGTTCAGACAACATACGGTCGTGGCTCATGATATGCGATGCCTCATGGACAATCTCAGTCGGGCTCTTGACGGCGAAGCTCGACCATTTCTTCATGGCCGCGCCGTAGATGTTCTTTTTCGCATGCTGTCGCCATTGTAAGCAGCTGCTTCCAGCTATCGATTCCGTGAATTGGCCAATTGGTCCATACGTCGAATGTCATCCATGATATCGGCTCGTCTTGAGGAATATCTGTTTTCTTGACCAGTTTCAATTCCAGCTTCTCGTCGTCAAACTGCACCGTAAAGATAGCTCCCGGCGGGGTCCATGTCCCGATCATCAAGTGGTGGAGGGGCATTCTCGAAAAATGACGTCGGCAAGTCAGTGCCGGCACTCGGGGAAACAAACGTCGTACAGCAGCAGCAGCCAGTTGTGACCGGCAATTTGGACAGAACTCAGAACAACAGCGAGAATTGGAAGAGGAAAATGATGCCAAAAATCATACGATGATAGTCACTCCTTCGCAATCTGAAAAGTCGCGAGAATTTACCTGACCATTGCGATGCAGCTTATTTGCCAATGCGCTTCAACGCGTGCCGCATCCTCTGCAACGGGCAATCTCTACTTCGCGACCGCTCCACATTCCCCAATTTTCGGTAATCGCGATGTGGGGAAGAATATTCAAACGGCTCAGGTCGGAAATGGTGGCGGTAGATTTGGGTGGCACAGGGAGAACCTGCGGCATGTGGTCCGCAAAAGTTTATTCCAAAGAACCTCTTGGGATGCTCAAGGCCTACCGCCCAGCTAGCCGGGTAAAGGCTCATCCATTGCAACGAACCCGCAAGAAAACCGCGCTTCAAGCTGACAGGCTAACCATCTGATGATCCCCAGAAACTCAGCGCCAAGGTCCCTTCAGACTGGGTATGAACGGCCCCGCCAAGGAGAGGGATGAGCTGAGACATGCCGTTCAGGCGGTTTTGTCGGCCGTCGCCTTTGTCCTAACAGGACACTAGACCCGGGCCAGATGCGGGCAGCGCCTGGCAGATCGGCTTCGGACGGCCTTTTGGGTGAGGTCAATGGCCATATGCGGTTCCCTCTTGGTCTGGAGCCAGGGCTAAATTTCTCCCGCGCCTTCCTGCTCCAACATCCCCACTTCCGCCATCCCAGACCTGGGGATGGAGAAGGTGCCGCGAGGGCCGTCCGATGGTGTTCGGCGGGGGAATGATGCCACCAAAGTACGCCGTAATTGTTCTTGCGTCTTGATGCTTCACTCATTGTGTATATATTCTGGGAAGTTTCCCAGCTCTTCGTGGTTGTTTTCCTGTTTCATCATCCTCACTCACACAGTGCCATCTTAGCCAGCTCTTTTTATCAAGACAAACAAGGTCTTTCTTTTTCTACAGAGTTTTATACTCCTTTTGATACCCCTTTACCACAGTTTCCCCTGTACATATCACCACACACACAGCTAAAATGGCCTCCAACGGTAGCAACGGTGTCAGCCACGCCCCTGAGGGCAACTCGGCCAAGCCCGCCCACAGATTCGATCCCGACTTCACCCAGCTCGTCATTGACACTATGGGCCCCAACACCACTCCCAGGAATCGGGTCGTCCTCGGCGCTCTGATCCGCCACCTCCACGACTTCACTCGCGAGGTCGAGCTCACAATCGACGAGTGGATGACAGGTGTGCACTTTGTCAACGCCGTTGGCCAGATCTACACCAAGAGCCGCAACGAGGCCCACCGTGTGTCGGACATTCTCGGTCTCGAGTCGTATGTTGCCCCTGAACTGTCGCCTCACATTTGTATCTTACCCCCTGACTAACCCGTTCATAATAGGCTTGTCGACGAGATCGCCCACAAGGTCATCGCCGAGAACGGGGACATCGACCCCACATCCTCCTCTATTCTCGGCCCCTTCTGGTCACCCAACGCCCCCTTCCGGGAGCTCGGCGGCAGCATCATCCAGGACGGCGTGCCCGAGGGCGGCCGCGTGACCAAGATGCACGGCGTGATCCGCGACATGACCACGGGCAAGCCCATCCCGGGTGCCGTCTTCGACATCTGGCAGGCGTCGGCCAACGGCAAGTACGACTTCCAGGACCCGGAGAACCAGACCGCCAACAACCTCCGCGGCAAGTTCCGCGCCAACGAGAAGGGCGAGTACTACTTCTACTGCCTGCACCCTACCGCCTACTCCCTTCCGACGGACGGCCCCGCCTACACCCTGCTCAAGGCCATGGACCGCCACCCCATGCGCCCCGCCCACATCCACATCATGGTCACCCACCCCGACTACCAGGGCTGCACCACCCAGCTCTACCCCAAGGACGACCCGTGGTTGGTCACCGACACCGTCTTCGCCGTCAAGCCTGACCTGATCGCCGACTTCAAGCCCCTCGAGGGTGATGACAAGGCGGTGCTCGAGCTCGAGTACAACGTCGTCCTCGCCCCCAAGGGCTACAAGAGCAAGGCCTAAATACCAGGGACTGGGGATGAAAAGGAAAAGGAAAAGATACAAAAGGATGGATCTTGTACATACGAAATACCTGCTGGAGATCCCAGGTTGCATCACACACACATCACATCACATCAGATAAGGGATGAGGAGGGTGGATTTGCCAGCGTTTTCAACAGTTTTTTTTCCCTTTGTTAGAGCAGTTGTTTTGATAATGAATGACAAAAGATTATGAACATAATAACCTGATTTACTCGAGTGATGGCTTACTTGGAGTGAATGCAACTGGAGAACTTGACCAGGACTACATAGTTGTATCCACTTATCTGGCTTTGCTTGTGCATTGATTTGTAGTGATGCGTTCATGACGATGAATCCATTGTTGGACTGGAAGCAGGCAACAGAAGAAGACAGGTATTACTGTATCAACTGCTGTGTCGTTGTGAGACAAGTCACTGCAACCCGTCTTCCACTGGCACCGTGAAAATGTAAGCTATATTGCAAGGGGAACTCGGGTGTGGTCTTGACCTGTCTTTTGTGGCTGTGAAATACTTCGCGCCTGCCTGTTCCTCGTTTATCGGTTGGTTAATGTTCAAACTCGGTACATATGGGAGACTTCCAAGTATTGTAGTAGTCAACTTACGGGCAGGAGTAGCACGGGTTGGTTGGGTCTTTGATAGTATGTGCATCCCCTGAACATTAGCTATTACATGTAGACGGTGTCGGAGAATGCCCAGCACACAGAAGTCCTAAAAAAATAGGAAACAGAAACTCTGCACATAGCATGGCATTCGCAAATATAACAGCCATCGACAGGGCCAGGCAGGAAAGTGTGACCACATAATATACGACAAGGCTAGGACCGTAGAACGGAATGTTACTGTGTCGTGGTATGAACGTGTATCTCATTGAAGCAAAAAAAAAAAAAAAAAAAAAATCTGGAGAAATGGAGTGCAAGTTTGGCTTAATTATCGTATCCAATCCCCGCAGCACTTTTGGAAAACCGCGTTCTTGAAGTTTGCTGCATTATGATCATACACACTTGCGCTGCATCTCTGTCTTCTACTGATAGACTGGGTTTTTATGAGTCCATGGTAGTAGAAGCAGATCTTCCAACTCCGATTAAGCTTTCTTGTCCCAAAATTTGCGCAGTAAGGTACGTACTGTACATTCAGGGGAAGGTAGAAAAATACAATGTACAGTGCTCCAAGGAAGTGAAAAACGTTTCCAGCGAGAAAGAGCCTGATTGTAGTACTATGGATGTAGACCTGACAAACCTCTCAAACAACAGAGAGAAGCTCAAGTGAGGATTACCCGTTGATTTTGATCAACTATGCGTTTCTTCAGAATATTAACCAACTCACAGGTTGCAAGACCCCCTTTTCTT